ACTAATTATTACCTTACTAACTTAAGTTGGCTCCCATAACACCGAATTGTTTTAATTGATTAGGGAAATCTTTAACTGATTAGAATGACTCTTATCTTCCATGGAGGGTCCTTCAGCCAATCAAAAATATTCACTAATAAATTACATCAAGTAATCATATAATATATATATCAACAAAAACATTATCAGTTCAGCATAATTCAGATTTCAGTAGCATTATTCATCCCTGAATCTCTCCTAATTCTACAAAATTGTTCTTCATTCAATGGATTTGTGAAAATGTCAGCTAGTTGATGCAAGATGTCTATAAAATTTATCTCAATATCTCCTTTAAGGACATGATCTCTAATGAAATGATGCCTAATTTCAATGTGCTTGGTTCCAGAGTGTTGAATAGAGTTTTTAGAGATACTAAGGGTGCTCGTATTATCACAATAAATGAGAGTTTTTTGCATGGCCATTCTAAAGTCATTTAGTCATTGCCTAATCCATAAAATTTGTGCATAACAACTACCTAGCGATATACTTAGCTTCAGCAATTGATAGAGTAATAAAATTTTGTTTCTTGCAAGACCAAGACATAAAGATGTTTCTAAGGAATTGACAAGTATCACCAGTGCTTTTCCAATGAGTTTTGCTACCAGCAAAAATAGCATCGGAATAGCTAAAAGAATTAAAAGATGAACTTTTTGGATACCATAAGCCTAAGTTTTGAGTATCCGAGAGATATCTAAAAATTCTTTTCACTGTAGTCAAATGTGATTCCTTAGGACATGATTGGAATCTTGCATATAGGCATACACTAAATAATACATCAAGTTTACTTCCAATAAGATAAAGAAGTGAACCAATCATACCTCTATAGAGCTTTTGGTCAACATCTTTTCCTTTATCATCTTTGTCATGCTTTGTGGAAGGGCTCATAGGAGTTCCAATTGACTTCATATTCATCACACATAACTTTTTTAGCATTTTTTGGTATACTTTTATTGGTTGATGAATATTCCATCTTCACAGTACTTGATTTGTAGACCAAAGAAGAACTTTAGTTCTCCTATCATGCTCATTTCAAATTCTCCTTGCATTTCTTGGGCAAAATTCTCATACAACCTTTCATTAGTAGCACCAAATAATATATCATCAACATAAATTTGAACAACAATCAAATCAGTCTTATTTTTCTTAATAAACAAAGTATTATCAACACTTCCCCTAGAGTATCCTTTTTCAATCAAAAACTTGAAAAGTCTTTCATTCTAGGCGCTAGGAGCTTGTTTTAATCTATAGAGAGCTTGATGCAATTTGTATACATAATCAATTTTATCAAACACTTCAAAACCAAGAGGCTATTCAGCATATACCTCTTCTTGTATAAAGCCATTAAGAAATGCACTTTTGATATCCATTGGAAACAATTTAAAGTTCATGAAGAATGCATAGGCAAGTAAAAATCTAATAGCTTTTAATCTATCTACGGGAGCAAAAGTTTTATCATAATCAATACCTTCTTCTTGATTGTATCCTTAAGCTACTAACCTTGCCTTATATCTTATCATATTTCCCAACTCATCCATCTTGTTCTTAAATACCCATTTTGATCCAACAATTGGATGGTTGGTTGGCCTTGGAACTAAGGTCCAAACCTTATTCCTTTCAAATTGGCCTAATTCTTCTTGCATTATAATCATCCAACTCTTTTCCTTTTCAACTGCCTCAAAGTTCCTTAGTTCGCCTTGTGATATGAATGCTAGATACGCACAAGCTTATCTAATCCCCTTTTAGTTTTGATACCTTCTAAGGGATCACCAATGATAAGTTCTTGAGGATGATTTCTTACAAATCTACAGCTCTTAGGAAGATCATTGTGTTGTTCCTCAGCTCTTTGTAAGTCTTTTAATGGTGGTTCATCATTATCTTTTTCCTTTAAGCTCTTTTCATCATTTTGTTTGCTATCCAAGAGTATTTTCTCTATTTTCTTCTTAATGTCATCTGCATTATCATCATCAAGCACTACCTTTCTTTGTGCAGCATTAGTTTCATCAAAAACAATATGAATTGACTCTTCTATAACTAGAGTTCTTCTGTTAAACACTCTATATGCTTTAGAGATCAATGCATAACCTAAGAAGATTGCCTCATCACTTCTAGCATCAAATTTTCCCAAGGTGTGTTTTCCATTATTCAAAACAAAGAATTTGCATCTAAAACTCCTTAGGTGAGAAATATTTGGTTTTCTTCCTTTGTATGCTCATAAGGGGTTTTAGAAACCATGGCTTTAATAGAAACTCTATTCAAATTGTCGGCTGCATTATTCACTGCTTTAGCCCAAAAGTACTTTGGCAAGTTGTTTTTGCAAAACATTGTCCTTGCCATTTCTTTCAAGGTCCTATTTTTTCTTTCAATAACTCCATTTTGTTGTGGAGTTCTAGGAGCAGAAAAATTGTGATCGAAACCATTTTTATTACAAAAAATTTCAAAATTATCACTTTCAAACTCACCACCATGATCACTTTTAACACTAACGATAGTGAGCCCTTTTCTATTTTGAACTCTTTTACAATGTTTAACAAAAATTGACAATGCCTCATCTTTGTGAGCAAGAAAATATACCCATGTATATCTAGAGTAATCATTTACAATAATAAAGCCATATGACTTGCCTTCTAGACTAGCAATAGTGATTGGTCCAAACAAGTTAACAAGTAATAGTTCAAGTGGCCTACAAGTTGATATGACTTTCTTGGATTTAAAGGAACTTCTAACTTGTTTTCCAAATCGACATGCATCACACACCTTGTCTTTTCAAACAGTATCTTTGGAAGTCCAATGACTAAGTCTTTTCTTAAAAGTTTTGAAATTGTGTGCATACTAGCATGTCCTAACCTTTTTTGCCATAACCAACTATCACAAACGTCATTAGCAGTAAAGCATAATTCACTAGTCTTAATTTTATAAAGAAAAATTACATACATATTTTTAATTCTTTTGCCAATAAATGCTACTTTGTTAGTGTTAACATCAATTACTTGACATGCATGGGAATCAAAGCATAGTCTAAAACCTCTATCAGAAAATTGACTAATGGTTAGCAAATTATGTTTTAAACCTTTAATAAATAAGACATGCTTGATTTGTATTTGAGACGTGTTACCAATAGTTTCAATTCCTTGGATAATACCCTTGGAGTCATCACCAAAGGAAACACTGCCACACTTTTTCCTATCAAGCTTAGCAAATAAGTTTTCATTGCTAGTTATGTGTCTCGAACAGCCATGGTCCAAGTTCAAGGCTACCTTTTCTTTGGTTGAGCTTCAAAACATTGATTCTTTTGTCCTTGCTCTACCTACAAAACATATTTTTAGTTTTTCTTTAAAGGTACCCATACTTTGATAGGTCCTTGGGGGTTAGCAATCACATGAGATCCTTTTGGAACCCAAACCAATTTCATTTTAGGAAAGATTTTATTAGAATGTAAACATTCATAAGACAAATGACCTTTCCTACCACACACATAACAGTGACATGAGATAGCATTAATTTTCTTTCTAAGGCTTGTTTTTCTTTTAAATTCTTCAACTTTTCACTTGAATTTTAGTCTTTCTGCGTTATTGACTTTAAGTGCAGCATTTTTATCAACAACTCTTTGTAATTTTAAACTTTTGCTTCCAATTCAAGCTTCAAGAATTTAGAATCAGTTTTTGATTATTCTAGTTCAATTCGAAGCATGTTCTTTTGATCAAAAACAGAGTTGTACTCATGCTTGATTTTTTCTAAGTCTTTATTCAATACAACATCCTTTTTCTTCATAGTCTTATATTTTAGAGCAAGTTTTTTTAATTCAGCATATAGATAGTCATATTCATATTGCAAATCATTATAGAAAATATCAAATGAATTAGAATTTACCTCGATTTCTTCTTCCTTTGCCATCAAGCAAAACTTGGCTCTTTCTTTCAATTTTTCGTTTTCCTCTTTGAACATGATGAATCACAATTCACCATACTGCCACTGTAACACCCCGTACCCTCATTT